TTGTTCTTTCATCTAAATAATCATGGGTTAACCAATCTCAAGTGGTCCTTATTAGATGGAGCTCTCAAATTGACTCTTCCTAAAGAGTCTCATGATCTGGATAGGGATAGCCAAGATTTGTCGGAGGAATTTGAGAAAGCTGCTACTTATGGAGGAAATGAAAATGAAAGTTGTATTCGAATATTCAAGCATAGGGTTGAAGAAAAGGCGAGTCTTCTTAACTATGTACAGTTGAGATTATTTTTTTCCCGTAACTTTTGAATTGATACTATTGAAATATATGTGACTTTAGATTTGCTTCTTCTCACATTATCTTGACTGTTCTCATGTTCTCCAATAATAGAAAATATCTTCCTTTTTGAGAAATTTGATTACTGGAAAAAACATCTTTTTGAGTTCTCGAATGAATGGAACAATCTCGCCCTGATAGTCAAGGAACTAGGGAAATAAACTAGCAAAGATAGTATGTTGGTTATTCCAGCTCTTTCGTTGCCTTAACATTCCAGATTTACAAAGTAAATTAATGTGTACTTTGTGTTAGTTTACCTGAAAAAATTATAACTTTAACCATATGATAGTAGTTGATCTTAATAGACACTTTTACAACTATTCGGATTTGACATTTCCTTAGCTTTATCTAACAGTTCAGCTAAGAAGTTATAAATCAGGAATTAGTTGCATGAAGTTATATATTATTTTGCTTTCCACTAATCTCTATATTGTTTCTGTTGCAAATGCAGACTATTGACAACATTTATGCCCGCAACAACCTTTTCGGAATTTTATCTTCAAGATAACAATGTTATTGCCATAGGAATGGATGACTCCTACATCCAGATATATAATGTTCAAGTTAACGAGGTTGAGGTATTCAGACATTTATTTCATTCTGTAATTTTTTAAATAGTACTAATTCAGTATTTATTTAAATTCGTTGACATCGAGTATGATCCCTTTGTGTAGGTAAAGACAAAGCTCAAAGGACATCATAAAAGAATAACTGGGCTTGCTTTTTCGAATTCTCTCAATGTACTTATATCTACCGGAGCAGATTATCAGGTAAATTAATTTGATATAGGTGTATTTCGACATATACCTTACTTAAAAGAAAAATATAGTTGTTGTGTTTTGGGCGAATTTGTGGCTTGATGTTGTTGATAATAGTTGCTACCGTGGATGAACAATTTCAGCACTTTGACCATTTTTCTGCTACAATCTGTTGAGGCAAAAAATGAAATAACTTTGCTTATTTAACTTCTGTTTGGCATGTTTATCATTACCTCATGCCTTTGATGAGAATTAATTATTGCCTTTGATGAGGTTGGTTGCTACAGTTTGACACCTCATTTTGAAGTTGAATCAATGTTGTATTTTGGCCTTTTGCTGCTCCATTTTGTAATATTTTTTGATCCCCGGGTTGTTGTATTTTTTCTTTTACTACTGTTGAATTTTAGACTAAGCTATTTGCTATACTTTTGGCCAAATTTGAGCCAATGGTTGCTATGTGTTGACCTAAACTTCATTGCACTTTTAAGTCATTAAGTCAGCCATATTGTCAAAAATATTGCTATGATAAATGTGGTACTTTAGGCAGAAATTGAGCCTTAAGGACTGCTGCATTTTTTGCCAAACTATTACTGCATTTTTGAGTTCGTTGGGGTTCGTTTTTGCTCTGCTTTTTGGTGAAAAAAGGTTACTTTAAGGCTGTTTGAAACAACTGCTTCACTTAAATATTTTCATCTATTGCGCTTTAAATGTTTAATTCATTCGAACAAATACTATTGACCGATTAAATTCAATTTGAGGCCATGCTCCTTTGAAATATCCCTCGGTTTGGGTCACTTGGCAAAAAAGTGATGACGTACTATCTAAATAGTGGTCAAAGAAACTCATTCAGAACGGCTGATGAGCCACTAGCTAGCTTCCAGCCATGCCATGCCATGCCATGCCAGATTTTCTTATACTATATACTGCTTTATGTTGATGCCAATTGAAGGAAAGGTCTTTCAAATATTTTGTTATCTTTTCTGATACTCCATCTACTAAATAAATGTTTATTGCTCCATATTTTCCGAACATAATTCTAGAAGTTTTCTCTTTCTTCTTTCTCCTTTGTGCTCAAATTGGGTATAATCACTTCTAATTGTTGGTGCCTACAAGCTATCGCTGAAATTCAAAGGAACAAAGGATTTGAGAATGATAAAGAAAGAACACTTTAAAGTACTGTTCAAAGGAGAAGGACCAAAAAATCAATACAGGCCATCAATATAGAGAAAAAAAAGAGGGTAAAATGTTAATGAGACTAGCACAGCATCAAATAGATGTACCAAAGGTAATACAAGTTGTACTATATTGGGGCCCACTTCATTAAACAAGTACTATTCCCCACTCATATCACAAAGACACATGTACTATGTAAGGAGTTGGGAAGGACCAACAAGGACAAATCTGTAATTTTCTTAAGCTTACTCCACTCATATCACAAAGACACATGTAATATGTATAACACATAGATGCTTTTTATATTATCTATGGATTGATCCATTTTCCCCTTACAGTCTCATAATTTCAAAATCGTTTAATTTCTCTTAATTTTCGAGTAAATATCTCAAAAGGTCATTCAACTTTGAGAAATTATATTGTAAAATTATTCAACTTTGTTTTATATCAATAAAATCACTCAACTTTGAATATTTCTTTTATAAAATAACTCGATCAAACTTACCATAAAAATTATTCTACAAGATAAAATCATTATTTTTTAAAATATATTTACGAGAAACTTCTTAAAATATTTAAAAGTCATGAAAAAGTTAAAAACAATTGGCATGAATTTTGAACTTTTTAGTAAATTTGTGAAGCAAGTCGAACCCATTTGAGGGAACGTATGAAAATTGAACGTGATGAGGTATCGACTTTCTTCTCTTCCCATTTTATATTGTTCGTATTATATTTAAAAATGATTTCACCAATAATTTTTAAAAAAAATTCATATCTTACACCTAATTCATTGATCCATGATTGTATTTTTTTGAAATGGAGAGTAATTTTTTTGTAATTATTGGAGTAAAGAAGAATAACATATAAAAGATTGAGATTTGTGGAAGAGCAATTAATTTCTTTTATCATGTTAAA